TTTTAAGGTGGTTAGAGTAAATACTTAAAGATCACTTACGCTATGTAATGATTTAAAGTCAACAAAAGATAAAATCAAAAGTTAAAGTAGGTCTTTCACGGCTTTTTTTCAAACCAGTGTTTAAAATTGAGTAATTTTGACAATAATTAGTGCGTTCCTTATAATATTTTATGTATATTATTTATACACATATCTGCCAAGTCACATACATACAGCGATTATATTTCCATTCAATGTTTAAAGAACTCTATTTCTCATTACAAAAAATGTATTTTTATATACATTAGAAACTTAATATACGAACGAGATACACGTCGCCATCAGCCGTCCTAATTTTAGTCTACTAGGCTCATTGTGATATGTATCTTTAATGTCCTTTTGAATTGGTTAAACGCGCTTATATTAAGAATTTTAGACGGTAATTCATTAAATAATTTGACACCCTCATACTTAATAGATTTCTTCAAATAATTTGTACGCGGCTTCTGCAAGATAAGAAAACTCGCTCGACGAGTATTGCGTGATTTTTTTAAATGATAAGCTACTATAGAGAGATTTATTTAATTTTTCTTTAAATTTGGTTTCTTGGTAGATTTTATTAGTCTGTGTTAAAAAATTGTATCTAAATAGTGCTTTTATTAATTTATTTTGTAGTGTTCTTATTTTACAAATTTTGTATTTGTTATTCGATTTAATATTCTACGGTTTTCTACAAATTTCATAGATAAATTCACGTAAAACACCTCTTAAAGCACAGCCCCTAGAGGCTAAAAATCAAAGCGGTCCAGCCAATGCAAATCAAATCAAGAGTCCAAACACCATCGCCCTTGAACACTACATCCGCCAACGCATATATCGATTTTACACGCACATACAAGGCTTCCACGCGTGCATTACTAGTGACGTAATTGCCGCCACTAACGCACAATTACAGACCGTAATACCAGGGCAATAGGTAAGAGAATTGCGCAAAGCAATATGTCAGTTCAGACCGCTTCAGATGTTAACGTTGCCGTAATTAAGTAGAAGTATTAGCGTTTACTGTTGACCTTGTTGAGATTCGTTTTCTTTGACCGAGTGCCGCTTAACTTAGAGCTGATAATTTCTCTACGTGTTAGAAACAGGTAAAAATAGAAACTACAAGAAAACCAAGCTTCAAGCGTCAACCTGCGTATGCGCCGCACGATTGTATAAATCATTTTACTAGAATAAAACTGATTAGCAAGTTATGATTTACGTCTGTAGTCGAATTGAAGATATATTTTTGTTAAGGAAACAATAATAACACTTGTTCGAGGTTTCATAAAAATCCCCCCGTTAAGTAAATGCGCGACGCGCTCAATAAACCCTCGCCACCTAAAAAGTGTCCAAGCAGGGAAGCAAGGGTCCATGCGTTCAAAAGAAGTGATCCAAGTGCTGGAGCCGATCTCCCCTAGCTATTACTAAAAGCTAATGGCCCAGTCTTGCCTTGGGGTTTTAGTGGGTATGCACAATAGCGAGTGCCAGATAGCCCTCTAGCACTAAGCAGTAGCGCCGCATGCGCAATACATTTCCCTGAGTAAAATAATAATTATCCCTTATTTACTATAAATCAATTCCCAGGTATTCTTCAAATTACCTAACTTAGCAATGATGCTTCTTGCTAATTACTTGCAAGTTTCTACATTAAATAAATTTAAATGGCATGCTGGGACTGACGACGCTTGAAGATCTGTTTATGATTTTTCTAAATCTTGGGAAACTCCTTGGCATAGAAATATAATCACATATCCTGAACATAAAAATCACAGTAATAAGTATTATATAGCGCTTATATAATACAAGCCATCTTGATTAACTCTGCTAACGGAGTTTATGTAACGAAAATTAGAAGATCATCTTCAGTGATTGCATTGAAACGTCAATATAACGTAATATTACATTACCGCCTTACCAAGAAATTTTTGTATGAAAATGTATTCGCAAATAACGAGTGTTGTAGCAAAAATGACGTGTGAAATACAATATTCGCTTCAATAGGTAGAAAGGTGCAGCTACACTACGTGGAATCATCTAAATATTTTCTAACCAATTTGATTTATTTATTCATCAAAGAACGTGGCGTTCTTCTCTCGGAGGCCAGATTCACTTTGGGTCGTTATGCCAGCGAAGTCATTTCAATTCCTTGGAACCTTTTGTGGACCCAACTTATCACTTAATATATAATATATATGTCGACAAAATTCGTTTCAAATATTAACGAATGTCGGGCACCTTCTTGCCGGTATATAACATTAGACATATTATTTTTGCACGATATTCTTAATGGGCGAATAGATGTTATCTAATATATAAAATTCTCGTGTCACAATGTTTGTTCCCATACTCCTCCGAACCGGCTCGACCGATTCTTATGAAATTGTTTATGCATATAGTAATCTGAGAATCGGCTAGTATCTATCTTTCAAACTCCTCAGTGATAAGGGGTGGCCACCTCGATTTTTTTTTTTTTTAATTTTTTTATGATAGGTACAGCATACAAAAATACATACAACCCCTAATTTTTATCATTGTATTTTTACATATATTATTTGCTGTCGTTAATTTCTCTAAGAATCCACCGTATGGAACTCACAGATACTCACAATTATTCCATGTACCTCGTACGAACAGGAATTACCTGCATAATTCGCAAATGTTTCGAGTTTTATCTAACTAATGACACTAATTATGAAGATTTTTATATTTTCCACCTCACCATAGAGCACGTGAGGAAATATTTGAAGAAGCGGGTGGACTTTAACTTTTATTTGTAACAATTGAGTTTTTTTTTACTATTAAGTATTCATTGACGTTTATTTAATGTGAAATTTCAGTTTCCTTTTTCTTGTTGTATATTAATGTACTTACTTATAGTTTCTGTTTCATATATATTGTTTATCTATGTAATCAGTTTTGGCTTTGAATATTGTTCAAGTGTTTTGTTTTATATATGTATGTTAGATGTAAGATTACTAATAAATAAATAAAAAATAGATTCAGAATCTGTATTGACATGAGAATTGAATTATTGAATTGAAAAGCATATAATTTCGTTATAATAATAGAAGAGCATTAAATATTATCGAATTGTAAATAGCCAGCATCGAAGAGCCTACTTCTTTGGGCTTTTCAAAAATGATAAATGATAAATGATTTATTTCTGTAAGTAGGTTTTTACAAACACTTTTACACGTCAAACATATTTTTTTTTAAAACTAGATGAGATCGACGTTTTCTATCTGACTACTACACTACTCTGAGAAGAAACGCCGAAACAAACACAGAGGTCACAGTCTCTTTTAAAGTCCAGACATAACAAGATTATGTGAAGACCATGCAGTCTGAAATGGTCTTTTTCGTACAGTATCACTACAACTTCGACCCGTTAGCAATACAAAACCGATTGGAGATGTAAACGACAAATCAAAAAGTGAAATGTTTCGAGCGTAACATGAGATTTGTTACATTTGCATATTGGGTAACGAATTACCGAGATTCGTTACATAACGACACATTGTGCGTTATTCCTTGCAATTTAAGATTAACGATACACATAAAGAACAGATTTTATTTGAGGAAATTGTACTTTTGTTACACATTTAAGCTTTGGATGGTAAACGCATTAACTTTACATAACATTGAACATAATGTTTTGTTGTTGTTTGTTGAACACGTGTTGTTTTTTATATATTCTATAATCTTAAAGGCACTTACTATGGAATTGGCAATTTAGGAGGTTCTTGATATAAGCTTTGTCATAAAGTCTTCATAACCCTTTTTATGGTTGATAGAATAAGTAATCTAGAACCATATAAATGTTTTTGTTTAATTAGTAAATCAACTACTACACTACACTAGACACAGACACATATTTTAAAGGCCGGCAACGCACTTGCGAGCCCTCTCGCATTGAGAGTATTCATGGCGGTATCACTTAACATCAGGTGAACCTGAAAAGTAAAAATGAGAACTGTCTGTTGAATCACAACCTCAAACCTCAAACCACCACCACAAAAATCATTGAATCACAACCAAACGAAACCCACCAAGGTTCATATTCCGTCTATCAATCTCATAGGGGTAAGAAGCAGGTAACGTGACTAAGTCGATCTTTCGTTCTCTTCCCTTCTCAGACAATATAACTTACTAAAGTTTGTAACGTAGTAACTGTTATAAAGTTTGTTAAAACTAAATGATCTCCGGAGTATTTAATTAAAAATTCCGATAAGAAACTTTGTATTTAATTATGAGCGCTTTAATATAGCTGTAATTAACTCGTTTTCCTCTTTTACAATGTACAAATATGATATATATTTTTAACAACTAAATATAGTTTCTAATAAGCAACATGAATAATACGTAAAATGTATCGTCAATACAGTAAGTGTACGAGCCAAGGCTGTACATTTTGCTCACTCAGGCTTTCTTAGCTTTAAAAGCGTGGCGATTTCCTAAATCGTCGGAGTTACGCCCCGAGAGTATAGCGAGACGTAGGCACTCTCTTCAACTGTTACATTGCATTCATTCGTTACATAGCAATTAACATTTCATTACTTCGCTCATATTCTATTGTTATACGTGGTTAATATAGAGTAAATATAAAATCTTCTATTATTTAAAGCACCCCGTAAAGTAAGCATATTCAAGCAGCGCCTGTAGGTATATATTTTGGACTTAACAAAATCAAGAACATCGCGTCGTTCGGATATTAATTGTGTTGTTGTCACTGTAATTGTGTTTGCTTAGTGGTATCAGCATGCGACTGCTTATCACTGAGATCCTAGGTTCGATCCGCAATTGTGCATTGGACTTTCTGTCTATGTGCGCATTTACATTGTTTTTGCTCATACGGTGAACGAAGATATCGTTAAAGCAGCACATCTAAAACCACGAAATCGACGGCGTGTATTAGGCGCAGAAGGCTGATCACCTTCTTGCCTATTAAAAAACAAATGATCACGAAATAAATACAAAAACTATTAGTGTTTTCTCCTCCTAGTCTTTTCCTCTTTACTATGCGCAAACTGTTGTGTCTCCATCTAAACATCACAATAGTAATTTAAAGGCATATATAGCATTCATGGCAAAACCACCAATAAGTCCATTCCAAAGATCACCACAAGATAGTCAACTATCATTTAGAAACGGGTGGTTAGCTACTTATTGCCAGGAGAGAACCGGATAGTCTCAACAATCTGGTTATGGTAGGGAGTAGTAATGGTAGGACAAATCGGGGTCGATCGTCTTGCCCTGACCAAATTATGGGTGTCAACGTCTCTAAAGAGACAAACAAAAGGATATAGTCGTGTGGAGGCAGCAAGTCGATGTATCAGTTTTCAAGACACCACGACCTTCAGTTATGAAGACTACAAAGAAAAAGAAGAAGACTTCATATTTTAACTAGCTTTTAATAGTTTCGCAACTTTATAAATTTAAATCACTTTATCGTTGAAAATCTATGAAAATTATAAACTGAACGAACTGGAACTTAAAATTCATAGAATGTTCCACATGAATCACCATAACGCGATACAGGCTATTCCCACGATATTCTTACGTTAGTTTTGCTTTCAACACTGTTATAGTAGTATACAAAATTTAAAGAATGCTATAATTCATATAAGACATTCTTAAAACATAGTTTACATGTATTATTATGAGTCACAATCACAACACATTGAATTTTAACATCATCCTTAAGAATCCTGTAGATGGCGAAAAGTTCTTACATTATCCATCATTAGTTTTTATCACTTTTGCTTGTCGATTTTATGCCACAGATGTTAAACCGTTAAAGTGACTTAAATGTACGACAATATTAAAACAAGACAATACTTGCGGAAACATAAGGTTTACCACAGCGCTTTTGCAACTTGCTTGGTACTATGAGAGGTCAACAGGTCATTCACCTAACAACGACCATGAACTCAACACCAACCAATACAATATTAAATGAACTTGGTTAATTCATTTAGACTAACATCACAACGTAAAATGTGAGATCTTTGTCTGCAGCTATCACAGTCATGGAACTTATTCAGACATATTAGGCCTGGTACGGAGTGTGGGTATATCTAAGATGAACACGAAGAATATATTTTCTGCTACAACTAGAGACACCCGGCATTCATTTTTAATCAAGAAGAAATTTTAAGATAACATGAAGTTTAAGCAATCAAAATCCATTCCCAACCTGTTAGACAAGTGTGTCGAAAAACATAGATAAATAGCATAAATTGGAGTACGCTTGCCTACCAAAGATGGGCTTGGTTCATCTAACATTCTAAATTAAATTTTAATATTTTTGTCTTGTTTTGTAAATATTTTAGTTTTAAGGTTAAAGATATAAAAACAACAACGCTACAACCTTTCTTGAGCTCATGCCTCAGATTTCTGTATCTGTTTCATGATGATTTGTCTAATAGACAAGTAGGTAATCAGCCTCCACTCTCCAGTGCTGAACACACGCCATCGACTTTTTGAGTCTAAGGCTAGCCGGTTTCCTCACGATGTTTTCCTTCACCGTGCGAGCGAGTGTTAAATTCGCACATAGACAGAAAGTTCATTGGTGCACAGCCGGGAATCGAACCTACAACCTCAGGGATGAGAGACGTACGCTAAATTCGAACCTATGTCCTCAAGGTTTAGAGTCGTATGCCACTAGACTAAATAATAGTATAACGTCTCATACCGCAAAGGAACTTACAGTTAAGACCTACTTATAAGCCTATTGTTTATCTTAAACTTATCGGGTGTTTTGTTGAATTCACTAAGACTAAAGCTTAAATTTACGTAATGCTTTGAATAGCTTTCTAAGCGCGTATAGTTACTTCATAGTTAAGTGGGATTTCTTAATTATATTCTGATCAAATTGTAGTATGATTACTTTAAGTAACATATTATGTAATATGTGTAGATTATGTGGTTTTATTTAAAGTGAAATTGATATTTTCCGCTTTCGACAGGGTATGGTATTTTACAGTACGCGATATTTTACTATCAAAACCAAGAGTTGGCATTGATGACATCTAATCTAGAGTTTAACACTGGGCAAACGGGCAGAAGGCTCATCCGATGATAGATGGAATGCTATAAGTTGAATTGATTCGGAAATACTTCAGTGGGCAGCTGGTTCCACATAGTGGTGGTGTGCGGCAAAATCTGCCTTAAAAACGCTTAGTTGGGGAACGACGGCCTCAATTCAGATGCTTGTATTAATCCGAACACCTCCTCTGAACGCTCTCCATGGTAAATGGGGTAGACGTTGCAGAGATGCGGTAGAAGATGCAAAGAGTTCTCAGCAAGTGTAAATTACTACATTGTAAGAAATATCCCGATCGATACACAAATACGTAGAACATACATGCTTTTACCATTAAAATTATGATAACAATGTTCACGTGCAATGATTGTTCAAATTATTATTAATTACTAGATTAATTGAATGTCCGGTCACTTAATTGTTGACTTAATTCCAGGCAGAAACCTATTATGGGTTAAATAATTGATCCAATTAAGTTTTTTAACATAATCTGTTCAAAGCAATGACATTTATTGAATTTATGACTGGATTGTTCGTAAAAAACTTAATGTGTATTTAGACAGAGTATTCAAATAAGTTAAAATAAATAAGAATTAACATGTTAACTATTTTTATTCTTATTCTTATTACTAAAGTAACGATTATTACCCATTGTTATAAATTGTTATGATAATTTATATTCAATTTACAACCGTATTACATACTTTGAAGCTTGAGCGATAAAATTCCTGTAGTAGTCTGTGCCATATACGCGGAAGACTTCACGCTCGTATTTATTCCTACTCCATTAGCTTGACAGCCACATTAAATGGCTATATGCTATGAGATACAGATAAAAAATATCATTGTAATAATATGTACCACAGTTGCATTTTACTAGTAACGCGGTCTGAATACTAGCCATTTAGAATAAACAATAACTTCGGATGCGTAATTAATTTAACAAGCATACCGCTAAAAATACCCAAACTATCTTATTAAAACCTTAAAAAGTTTTAAAGATTTAACGACTAAGATTTAAGACTCAGTTCCTGCACTTAGACTCTGACTAGGTCCGTTTTGCGTAAAGTCTTAGCTAACTATGCCAGCCTAGCTCCTTCCAGAAGAACAGAAGTTTCCTGGGCACTTCGCAGGCTTCACAGAGGGACCTCACTACTACGGTTAGCCACAACCACGCATTCCAGGACTACGTGGGCGATTATTATTACTAAAACCTTACCTGAACAACAGCGTCCAATGCCATCCTCTCAATGTCCACATGGTAGTAGTTGAGTTGGGGAGCATACCGACGCCTGGGCCGGATATCGTCATAATACGCGATCACATCATTGATCGACACAACAGGGCAATCGTCCACCGTGCTGCACCCGCTACTAACACCGTCCACCCCACTATCAGAGTCACCTTCCCCCCCGAATCCCTCCTTAGAATCCCGGCGGTCACCGTAACTTTTTTCCGATTCCTGGTACCCGGATTCGGTCATGTCGTCCGGCGTAACTATTTCCGGTATCTTCGTCGTATCGTACTCGTAACCGACTTCATCGTCGACATTTATATCATCGTAGTCGGCCATTTTGATATATTCAAATACTGTTCTGATCGAATATCCACTACATGGTATGCCACACCAGTCACTCCTGTCGCCCTGAAAGAGAAATTACGATAAATAAACGTTTCTTTTTATATAAACCAAAAACCCAACAGAAGTTTGTGAAATAAAAAATAAGGATAAAGAGACGGCATTACAACAACGCAAATATTTGCCCGTCTATACGGCCGTAAATACTATCCTAAATTATTTTTATATCTACCATTTATTTTAAGATGTTTTATTAAAATATAAAGGTTATCTCAAAATAAAATCGTAAATAAGACTTCTAACAGCAACATTATGTATTTCGTTTGACTCGAGAATATAACTTTGATTCATGAAAAGAATATTGATGGATTGAGGCTTGCAAAATGCAAGTATACTCGTCAAAACTTTACATTTAGTACCAGTTCTCAAATCCAGGGCGTAGAACGGAAGAGAAGAACTGGCAATAAAGTCTCCGCCACTCTTTAATCGCCATGTTTTTTTTTTCCACAACTATAGAAACCCTTTAACTTGTTTTGTATAATGTTAGTTTTAGTTTTGTTTATAATAGGAAAGTAAACGAGCCTGCGGAACGCCCAAAAAAGGCAGTCATCGCAGCCCATAGACACCCTTTTTAGTGGGTGCGTTGCCGGCCTTTGAGGGAGGAGTGTAATCGAATTTGAACATTTGGAGGTCGTATCTCTCAGAGAAGACCCCCACCGGGAGTCGATTCCACAGTTCGCTAGGTCGCAAAAGAAAATGCCTTGTAAAACGGACTGTGGAAAACTTCCAGTCATCAAGGTGATGTTGGTGAAATGTAGGATTCATACGGCTCATAGTATTTATTGTTATTCTTATCTTTCTGTGACTGTGTTATATTGGACGTCAAACACTTGTTAAATTAATATCATCAATTGCTCTGTATAATTTATAATTAATAACTTGTATTAAAATTGGAAATCAAGACCTCTCCTCCATGTAACAAGCAAGAGAGATGCAAGGAACAAAGAATCAAAAGAAAGTATCAAATAGCCTTCCTTGCGTCCTTATCCTTTCGTGTAGTATAATTGTTTAGCTTATCCAAAACACAAACGCCACTTAGAATTTAAAAAAAACACCTAATCATTCCCTTTCGTCATCCTTGTCATTACGTCGACACGTCGTCACACTATATGCTATATGTTATTATGTTAAACACTTATGACCGAGCATAATTTTGCGTTAAAAATAACGTCACCATACAGCTCAAACTTGATCATATCTATATGGTTCTAAACGGTCCGGGTATGTAAATAATTTTAGTAGTTTCAAAGTACATAATTGAGCAGCACATCGACTTGATTACCCATTAGAGTATTGATGCGAGAAGGGTCAAAGCGAACCCATACTTATTCGCGCAATACTCGACGCGTAATACATGATCTGCAGTATTACTGTGTAACTCCCATTAAACTTAGCGATTGCAATTTTAATGTGCATACATCGAAATTGTAAAGAAAAACGTCAATCTCGCTATCTTAGTATCACAGTACCAGCGGGAGAATTATTGAATAAAATTATATTAGACTAGGACTTTATTTCCTAAAGCTTTGTCCTATATACATTTTTTTTAATGTAATAGCAGGCAAACGGGCTGGCTGGAGGCTCACCTGATGTTAAATAATACCGCCCATGTACATCACATTGCGTTGCAGGTCTTTTAAGAATTGGTACGCTCTTTTTTTGAAGAACCGTAAGTCGAATTGGTTTGAAAATACTTCAGCCTTGACGCGCGAAAATGAAACTCAGCTGCAGGTATATTATTTTACCATAAATGTTTTAAATAATTTCGTCGTTTAACGCAAATAAGGCTTTAAAATAACACAAATTAATGGAATTTTAACATTAAATGTGATTGGAGACAAGATTCTCCAACTATTCGTGTGGGTCAGCGTTTCAGTTAAGTTCCAACTTCAAATATTTGAGCTAAGTTAGAAATGTCAAATTAAAGTTACTTAAAGCACAAACTAATAGACTTATAGTACATAAGGCTACTGAAAGCTAATATTGGCTATGACATAAATAAATAAAACGGTTAACTCTCGACACAAAACTTATGATAGCCTAATTTTATTAATGTAACCCACTTTTAGAAATTTTAAATGTGTAGGATTGTGTGAAGGTTATAGACAAATAAGTACTATAATACACCCGTAATCTAAACAAAACATTTCAAATACACTCACTCACGGCTTTGCTACCCAAAATGTCTTGGTCGCGAAGAAGATTTCGAGCGTGAAATTTAAATCCGAATTTGAAACTACCTTATTATGCGTAAACACAATTTAAAAAAAAAATGTGTGCGTGTACTAGGTGTACACGCGTAAGAAGTGAAACTTCTTTATGACCTTATTAAAAACTATTTCTTTAAACACAGTAAATTTTGATACACTGCCTAGCATACAATTTACAAATTAATTGCTGCAAATTGCGATGAGCAAATTTCAAGTCGAAAATGTAATCCGTTGTCAAACTTCAAAGTCAAAAACATACTATATGTCATATTTTAACGCCGATAAAGAAGTTTGACTTCGAAAATGTAATCCGTTGTCAAACTTCAAAGTCAAAAACATACTATATGTCATATTTGACTTCAAAAAGCAACATGGAGCGTAACGGAAAAATGTGACGCGTAACGCAAAAATGTTACACTAAATTTTTTTCCAACCCCGATAAAGAAGTTTCACTTCAAAAAGGGAAGAATTCTTTACTAATTAATATAATTTAAAAAATTAAATTACTCCCACCCAGCTTAGTGGTCAAATATTTGAAAATAAAATAAAAGCGTAATGGGTGTAAGGCTATTTTTAGTTAAGAACTTTCTTAATCACGTCAACATTCTAAGAGGAATCGGAAATTTTATTTATCTACTTAACAATTATATTTAACTTTTAAATTGATTTTATTTACTATACAGTTTACACCTTTACACAAGACTTCATTACCTACTTACACTGCTAACGTTTACGAACATAATAATTTTTTTTTTCTACTAAGTATTATTACATTCCTTTTCTTCATTTTTTTGCGACTGAGATGCGAATCAGTCGCTGTGGTCTCTGGCAGAATGACCAGCGCTGTGGAACATTCTGCTCTTCAGGATAATGCTGAGCCAGGGCCAATTACAGCCACAGCACACACAGAAAATTTAGTTTTTGATACCTCTCATTATATATATATATATATATTCATTCATTCATCACTCATTATACATATTTTTATTTTATTTTTTTCTTTGATTATTGTTATTTTGTGTGTTTGTTTTTGTTAGTAATTAATGTCATGTCTATGTCTTTGTCTAATATGTCCATTAGTTAAGAAGCTACGATGCCAGACACACGTGTTAAATTTAAAACACCACTCTTTATTGTGTGTGGAAATAAATTTTATGTGACGATGTTTTATAATTTTACGAAAGGAATTTTATTAAAAAAATCGTTATTTTGTGTTCTCGGAGTTTTCATATCATATTTTGTAGTAGTAGTAAGTAAATGTACAAGAACTTTAGTCATACCAATAAATAACAATAATTTTCCGATTTTGTAAATATTTAATTAAAACGTTGAGTATGTTAAACCCTATTCCGGTTTAACAAATTATATGGAATTCTATATAAAACCTGTCTATGTTGACAACAAACTATTGCTCAGCGCGAAAGTACTGGAATATTAGGAAACCTTAATTATTCACAACAAATACTGTGATTTATGCATTGGCTATATTTGTATTTATTGCTTTGCAACGTTAATTAACGTCCGCTGTATCAAATACCACACGTAATTTCTACGATTCGTATTTTTCCATAAAGGCCGTCGAATAAGCTTAGCAATTTCCAAGTGTAGTTTTAGACCGAACACACAAGAATATCACAAATTCTATTCGTGGCAAAAATGATTTAGATTTAATTTTTTATCACTTGCGATTCATGCATTCCAAACAGATTACGGAGGTCAAGGGGTATTCATCAGTAAAACAGTAAAAAACTACCTCTGTTACACTTTGAAAATTATTCACAGATGTCACGAGAACAGAATTATTTTTTTTACAGACAAAGGGAGAAACGGTAGGGAGACTGATTTGATCTTAAGCTATATGGACCAAGGCCCATGGACACTCTCAATGCCAGAGGGCTCGCGAGTGCGCTGCCGGCTTTATACTCTCTTTTCTTGCCCTAAGTCTACTTCATAAAAACCTGATAAAGGAGATTCGCCATTCGACACATACGTTCACTTTAGTGAAAATATAAAATTGTTTCATCGGCACTTCCTCACGGAAAAACTATTTCACTAATTTCGATGATAGAAAATATTAGATTTAACAAAATACAAGTCGACCGAGAAAATAGCTCCCACTGAATTATGGATTTCATAATATATTTTCAGTACACATTTTATTCAAAGGTCGACGAAGCGTGAAAACGAAACTTGTACAGTTTTGACGTGCTTATGAAAATTTATCTTCATATTATGGAGAAGAACGTGGATAACTAAAACAATTTTCCTAGTAATGGAAAATGTTTTTCCTGCGTACGTGGTATGAATGTGAAATGAAAAACGGACCGTAATGCGTTTAGTTTGATTATAATTGGTAAAGAGCATCTCTAGTAACACAGAAACGAGACCTATCATGCTTCCTTTCTGTTACAGCCTTTCTCAGGGTTCCCATATCATCTTTTGTAGTAGTACGTCCATACTAAGACGCTTACAGGTAAAAAATCCTTCGACACTTTGTTATCAACACACCCTGAGTTTTTTAGGACATGTAACACGCAGAGATACAGAAAGTCTAGAAAAACTGGACCGATCAAGTAAAGGCCCTTTCGGGTCTTACCATCACCCAGGCGCAGAGGGGAAGACAGGGGAGAGTGGAGGAAGTTGTGCGGCGCCTCTAAGACGTTCAGAAATCAAGAATACGACTGAAAAAGAAGTAGTAGTACGTAGCAGTACAAGTAATTTAGT